ACTCAATATGTGTATGTCCAGAGCACGGTGATTAAAGAGAAACATATCTAAATAACTATTTCTACCACAGTTCAAATTTGTAAATTAAAGACGTCTTATTTAACAGTCTTAATAAAGTTTATGTATGTTGAGGTGAGGTGAAATTGGGTTTAACGTCGCGTCCAAGATTATTGCACTTATATAGCGACGTGCATGCACGTACGCGTATGTGTGTGTGTGGCTGCTTGTACTAGTCTGGATTGATGCGATTTATAGTGCTAGCTCACTGAGATACCATGCCGCAGTTTAACATGAATACCCCACTCAGACACAGTATACTGACTCCGAACCGACCAAGTCCTTGTTCTAGCCCCTTAATGCTGAGCGCCAGACAGGGTAACAACAAGTACCATCTTTTAACGTCTTTTGGTATGACGCGGCCGGGAATCGAACCCCGGACCTTCCGCTCTCCGGGCGGACGCTCTACCACTAGACCACGGAGGCGGTCCTGTGTGATAAAGAGCGGGCAACTATGTCTATGATGGTCAAAGCACAGGCATTGTTATGTTCTAGAACATTGAAACAATGAGGCCGCATAAGAAATAGAAATAGCCAATTAAGTTAAGAGCAGGTAAAATTGCCTTTTCATACGTGTCCATTCAATCATAATCTACATACATACATACTGCATTCACAAATGAAGTTAGATGGTATTTAAGCAATGATTAATAGATAAATTTGATCACAGATTTAGTTTAGATTTAACTGAAGTGTTTAACGAATTAATAGGGAAGCTAGGTATACCAGCTGCACAGTTGGTAAAATATCTGAAGATATCAAGATACATGGATTCTACGTGGTTTTCCCGCGCGTTAACTGGTTAGATACAAATGTTCGTGAAAAGACGTGCATATTTCTGCTATTATCTGCTATCTGCATACGATGTCACGCATGCGTACGATCAAATGACCGAATCTGACCACCCATCCAAGTAGGTCGCCTATAGCTACTCGCAATGAATAGAGTTCTGTGGACCTATTCTAACCTGGGTCACCTCGGAGTTCAACTCTACAACAATTTCCTCACTACATATTTCTGAACAACAATGTATTTCCCTGATGTGTTTATTTCTTAGAATGTCGAACAAATGGTACCGGGACACGCGGCAGCTATTTTTCATAGAAAGTATTTAATAATTCACAGTACTATTCCAGTTTGACGTTAATTGATGAAGTGGTTTTTTTGTGTGTGTGTGTATGAATGCGTGACTGCGGTGTGTGTGTTTGGACGTGCGTGCGTGTTTGTGCGTGTGTGTTTGTGCGTGTCGTATTAGAAATCTCTCTCTCTCTTGTCTTAGAAATCAATCTCTCTCTCTCTCTCTCTCTCTCTCTCTCTCTCTCTCTCTCTCTCGCTCTCTCTCTCCCTCTCTCACCCTCTCCCTCCCTCTCTCTCTCGCTCTCTCACCATCTCCCTCCCTCTCTCTCTCCCTCCCTCTCTCTCTCCCTCTCTCTCTCGCTCTCTCTCACCTCTCCCTCCCTCTCTCTCTCTCCTCTCTCTATCCCCCTCTCTCTCTCTCTCTCTCCCTCCCTCCCTCCCTCTCTCTCTCCCTCCCTCCCTCTCTCCTCTCTCTCTCTCTCTCTCTCTCTCTCTCTCTCTCTCTATCTCCCTCTCTCTCTCTGTACAGCTACGTATCCCTATGGCCCATGTAAGGTCACGGACGGAGCCCAGCTTTTCACCTGGCTGTCCGGTCAGATTCCACATCTGTGTGGATAGGATCATTGACACCACAGCGCCATAACGATCTGTCCGGCGCAGCCATCACGCATAGCCAGTTCGTGCAGTTGGAGATGCACACGTGGCAAGCATTACTTGGCCTTAACACGAAGCCGTCCATGTTGATTGTGATTAGCGCTTGTGTATGAGTGAGTGAATGCGCTGTTGCAATGCAATAAAAGTAAACTAAGCTGTCAACATATGGATCAGCTTATTGGGGATTGTGTAACAGTATCTGCACGTGCATATTGCCGTTATATATTGTGACAGCTGCCCTAGCTGACTGAAACTTTTATCGTGCAATATGATATATGTACATTCATATCTATAAGTGTGTGTTGTGTGTCATATGACTGATCTATGCATGTATAGCTCTATATATAGGCGTATGAACTCGGGCCAAACGTGGGGAACTAATATGAGGCTTGACTGGTTATATGACTGGTATGTACTGGAAATGGATCACTGATGCGCAGGTCCTCCTCTCTGAGGGGTGCACGGGTGGCCCAGTCGTCTAAGGCGCCACGATTCGCTGTGCACAGTTGCGTCTCCTGGGCACGCCATGATTGTGGGTTCGATTCCCGGTTCGCCCCGATTATGTTTCTAGGTTTGTCAGCACCATACCCGTGTTCGTGGGTTTCACCGAAGTGGTAAGCGTCTAAGACCTGCATCACTTCGGGCTTTCCTCCCACATTATGCTGACACGTCGTGTGATAACTGGGATACTGTTAAAAGCGGCGTTAAACCCAACTCACTCACTCACTCCTCTCTGAGCATGCCTGACCATACGATCCATTTGAACGCCTCTTATAACCAGCATAGGTTACCATGGTTACTGGGGGTCTTACCATGCTCAGACAGACAATTACTGATGATGCTAATTAACATAGCCATGTAAATTGGAAAAAAAACACAAATCCAATAGCATGAATAACTTTGATCCTGTCAGGGATAACTGACATTGTAATAGTGGCAGGTATATAACATATATATTGTATATTGCTACATAATAACAATACTTTCAGCTGGCTTTTTGCCAGTGTGACCACGATATTGAAATGTTCGCATATAACTTGTGGAACAGTTTGATTACAATATTGCAACATTAGCACAATGATGGTGTAGAGCTTCGGGTGGTTTTAACACACAACACGCGTCGAAAAAAAAAAAATGATGTGAAACTGACTTGGAAAAATGTAATAATGTATAATAGCCGCGTGTCTGCATGTGTGTGTCTGTGTGTGCGTGTGTGCGTGTCTGCATGTGTGTGTCTGTGTGTGTGTCTGTGTGTGCGTGTGTCAAGCTACATAACGACAGTCTTTAAATAAGCGAGTCTGGACGCCGCCAGGGTCCGTTGCCACGCCATCAACCAATTCACCCAGCCTATTATTATTGTTCTGCATATATACTGTCTCTGGTCCAAGTGAACCCGCTGGTGCACGGGTCAGCGTGCAGTTCACGTAGCTGTACACGAACAATAATAATTATATGGACCCGTGTATACTCTCTCTCTCTCTCTCTCTCTCTCTCTCTCTAACCTTAGAAATATATCTCTCTCATCTTAGAAATATATCTCTGTATAATCTTAGAAATCTCTCTCTCTAACCTTAGAAATATCTCTCTCTCTCTCTCTATAACCTTAGAAATCTCTCTCTCTCTCTCTCTCTCTCTCTCTCTCTCTCTCTCTCTCTCTCTCTCTCTCTCTCTCTCTCTCTCTCTCTCTATGTGTCTCTCTCTATTCTTAGAAAACCATCATTTACTATTCTGGGTGGGATGGGGATGGGGTTGGGGGTGTAAATATATGTTAGATACAGGACATGGTTCTCTGTAACCCCCCTCCCAGAATACCACACGGTAGGTCATTTAATGGTTTAATGTGTACGTGTCACTAATAATGGATGAGGAGGGTTTCATAGCTATATGTCGGCGGGGGGCACTAGATATAGGAGCTTCACGCACTGTGCCCTTGCATGAATCGAAGTCTTTAGTGTAACATACACAATCTCTATGGTATGCAACCACTACAGGTGACTATTATGTTTGGAATGAATAGAACTGACCAATCCAAATCGAGTACTGTTTTTCTCAAATTGGTGGATGAATATGTATCTATCTGAAAAGGTAAAATTGATATCGCACATGAGTGATACAACTCTTAATGGCGGTCCTACGTTTAGTCTACATTTCAGCCAGAAAGATCAGTATAAACATAACATGACACATAATTTATGGAACATTTGCCGTCCTGCGCTACTCGTGAAAATATGAACTATTTATTCATGTCTTGGTTAATCTAAAGAAACGTGGCCCGTCTATTCACCGGGACCTCACTGGGGCGTTCTTGTCATGACTTAGCAAACTAGCTGTGATTTTATGCTACTTCCCTGATGTATAATCTTGAACGTTAACCCTCATTTCACACCAACCACCCCCACACGCATACCACCATCGATACACCACCCACCCCGAACGTGAGATGTTTGGTGTTTAACGCCGCACTCAGCAATTTCCAGCTATGTCTCGGCAGTCTTTAAATAATCGAATGGTGAACCAGACAATCCAGTGACTGACATCATGAGCACCGATCTACGCAATTGGAATATACTATGACCACCCGATCCATTTAGTTACCCAAATACTAGTATATAAGATGACATGTTTAGTATAAAAAATGATTATGATATGTATTCATCAAGTTTCTATTTATAACTCATACTAAAGTATTGCTGGGAATTTTTTGTCATCTTCTCCCACACAAAACTTGAAACTGACAGACGATTTGTTAAAAATAGCATAATTCTAAAAATAATAATACTGTATTTATAGTTTTATTTATAGTTGTATAATGTCAGGAAGAATGAGCTGTTAAGTATTTTTAACATTTTTTCATCTAAAACTATTTATACATCTTTTTTCAATTTGGGACCGCATCCTTTGAAATTTCTGGAACTAGTACCTTCATACGATCGCTCAGAAGAGTTACAAGTCCGCAATATAAGTAGAAATTGCGTACTTTGGGGCATTTCCTAAGCATGCGTGAATTACTCATGCTAAGTAAAAACATATATTGCAGATCATTCTATGTATAACATTAATGGTTCATGGACCAAAACAACTTTACTTAGCGTGAAATATTTACAAGATGACACCTAATAAATCTGATCTCTTAATGATCGTGTTTTTCAATGGTTTGGGAAATACACGAAGTTTGTCGGTGGCTCACGAAGATGGTCATGTGACCGCCGACTTCCTGTAAGAAGGCAGCCATGTCGAGAGAACCAGGCCAATATTCCGACATTGAGTCGGAATAGGTCCCTTAATAAACCTCGCCTGGAAGTATGACAGAAGCAGAAAGTACCCCGATTGTTATTAATTCTGAAGGTACGTATATTTTTTACCAGCCACGTTTGAAACGCTCGAAAATGGCCAATTATATTGAGTGTTGTGTGTGTGTTTTCATTATCGCGAGCTATAACCCGAGTCGAGTCACGACTTCTGGGGAATGAAGGACTGACTACGCACTCGCGAAAAGAAAATCTCCGAATGATTGGAGTTTGTGATCTATTGCTTTAGATTTTAATAAGTTGATTCTTGAATTTTCAATTAAAGGCACGTGAGCAGGAAGAGTGATTGTTTAGTGGTGTGTCTCAAGTTTCTCGGTGTTGACATTGTTGACAAATTAAGGAAGTGATCCTACAGTATACTGATACGAAGAGGCGCTGTCAAAGTGGTCGACGGCACACCCATTTCGTCTGATCTTCAGAATGACTGTGCGAAAAGACAAATATGACACTGTATCACATACAAACAATCGGATTTGATTATGAACATAATGAAAGTCACCTATCTACAGTCACATACCCTACCTACAACATGGATACTGAATGTTTATATGGTTGGAACAACATCTCAGAAATATGTGAATCATATTTGATAGCGTTGATAATTATTAAAATAATTTTGACACAGATTAAGAAAAATTGTGTACGTTGTATATGACTGGCCTACATATGGTGGCATACACAATATATCCGATGATATGTGTGATATATTGATCTGTATCATGCATGGTATTCAGTTATCCATTGTCCACTCTGCATGTTGTGGAGTATGGATAACTGAATACCATACATGGTACAGATCAATATATCACATATATATATCTGTTGGGGATTAAGGGGAAGGTCACACACCCAGCAACCTATGCAACCAAATGGATCAGGTGATCAGATTCAATAAGTTGCATGTCATTGTATCCCAACAGAGTGGGTCCTTGCTCACGGTATCAATCACTAGATTTTCTGGTCCACACAATTATTTATAGGCCATGTTATAAATGGAATACTGCTGGGTGCAGCGTTATTAAACAACAAACAAACAAGTTGTATATTTGGAAATATTTTGGTGTAAAGGTACATTGTTCTACTTGTTAAAGTAACCAGTGGTGACAGGGACAACATTGTAAATCCTTGTGTTACAGTAAGTTGTCAGCTTGCAACATCAGCAGATGTTCAGTGTTACATATACAGTGTTCCGTCGTTATTGCGCCCTTCAATATAGCGCTAACCGGGTTATAGCGTGCAGTAAAGTATGGCTCCCAAAATTTACTAACATTTTCAATAAACTCAAGTTTTCCAATGACACAATGTTTTCCCCCATCTCAGAAAACATTATCAGCTGATCACCGCGATCACGTAACACCGGAAATACCAGTCAACAAATCCGAACTGAAGTACGCAATTTAATCCTATAATAATGTATTAGGCTTATTATATATTTTGTTTATGGAATGAGAAAGTTCCACTGGGATGAGTAATAGTTGGAAAGATGTTTTGTTTGTGTGTTGTTTAACGCCACACTCAGCAGTATTCCAGCTATATGACAGCAGTCTGTAAATAATCAAGTCTGGACCAGACAATCCAGTGATTGACATCATGAGCATCGATCCACACAATTGGGATAGGATGGCATGCTTCAACCAAGTCAGCGAGCCTGACCACCCAATCCCGTTAGTCGCCTTTTACGGCAAGCATGGTTGCTGGAGACCTATTCTACCCCGGATCTTCAAGATGTAACCAGCCTTTAAAAGAAGCTTTATGCGTACGTATAAAATACATAAATAAGTATGAAAATATTATTCAATACACTCATTACCGTAAATTATTACACTAAACATGTTTATGTTATTGAGCAACAATTATAAGAGGGAGACACGCTCTGTCCTAGACTGGTTTACCTGCCCTAGAGTGCTTGGGCTCCTCGCCTGGAGCCGCTAGGAGACAAGGCGACTATTCTTGTCGTAAGAGGCGACTTACAGGATTGGGTGGTCAGGCTTGCTGACATGGTTGATGCATGTCATCGTATCCCAATTGCGTGGACGTCAGTCACTGGATTGTCTGGTCCAGACTCGATTCTTTACAGACCGCCTTCATATGGCTGGAATATTGCTGAGTGCGGCAAAGGGCAGGGTACCAGTCTAGCTCTATCCGACCTATTTCCCCATACAGCATTTCGCTGCAGTGAAGCATGTTTGTCTGTAGAATTACTAGAAAGGGACAGGGATAGGCCTACTCCATATAGCTATGCAGGATACATTGACACATTTTTATGTAGCGATGTCTGCCTGTCGAGAGAGACTGGGACAGTCCTATATTGCATATATATCTATGATTGAAACATTGACACATTTTCATGAAGCGATGTCTGCCTGTCGAGAGAGACTGGGACAGTCCTATATTGCATATATATCTATGATTGAAACATTGACACATTTTCATGAAGCGATGTCTGCCTGTCGAGAGAGACGGGGACAGTCCTATATTGCATATATATCTATGATTGAAACATTGACACATTTTCATGAAGCGATGTCTGCCTGTCTAGAGAGATGGGGACAGTCCTATATTGCATATATACCTATGATGGAAACACTGACACATTTTCATGAAGCGATGTCTGCCTGTCGAAAGAGACATGGCGACAGACCTATATTGCCAAAATATCTATTTTGGAAACGTTGACCCATTTTCGTGTATTGAGGTCTGACTGTCAAGAGGGATGGGACAGACCTATATAGCATATCGCTATGCGGGAATCATAGTTCATGGTTAAAAATAACAAGCACACTCACAACGTTGTGGGTTTCAATTTTGACAATATCTGCATGTCTCCACAGATCTACTTCATTATAATATTACAACAATGTAGCTATTACCATGTAAAGATTAATTATGAAAAAATATGAATAAGTTTACCACTGTAGATATATCAATGTCAACAGTGTCATGATTTCCATGATGATTGTATCAACTTAATAACCCATATTCCTTCAAATAAATAACATATGCTTCAGGAAGTCATTGTTGTGAAAACATAATCGATTACCAGTTTTGTTTTCGGAACATGTTTGTTTTCTACTTTTGTTTAACATAAATTTTTATACTGAAATGTGCCATATTCTCATTCCTGATATCGAAGGTACCACCTGCAAATAACAATTTGACGTGCGCTTTTAGACACTATATGTACTTGCATTAATAGGTAGGTATGCTACAAAATTTCTTTGCGCCGTGTTGATCCTCTGCATCAAATTTATCTTGTATACATATTTATTCATAAGCTCTGCCTTGTCATCCCGACGACTCGGATTCGGTTCCCCACATTGTTACGATGTGTGGAGCCCATTTCTGCTATCCCTTGCCATGATATTGCTGGAATATTGCTAAAAGTGGCGCGATGCCATACTTGCTCACTCACTCCCTCACTTAAATGTAAGGGGCACGGGTGGCCCAGTCGTCTAAGGCACCATGATTCGCCATGCAGAGTTGCATCCCTTGGGCACGCCAGAAACCTATGATTGTGGGTTTGAATCTCGGTTCGCCCTGATTATGTTTCTAGGTTTGTGAGCACCTTACCCGTGCTCGTGGGTTTCACTGAAGTGGTAAACATCTGAGACCTGCATCACTTCGGGCTTTCGTCCCACATTAAGCTGACACGACGTTATATAACTGGAATAATGTTAAAAGTGGCGTTAAACCCAACCTCACTCACTCTCTCATCCCGAAGATCTGGATTTGGTTCCCCCCATTGTTACAATGTGGGGAGCCCATTTCTGCTATCCCTTGCCATTTCAATTCCTGGAATATTGCTTAAAGCGGAGCAATGCCATACTTGCTCACTCACTCCCTCACTTAAATGTAAGGGGCACAGAGGCCCAGTCGTCTAAGGGGCCGCGATTCACCATGCAGAGTTGCGTCCCTTGGGCACGTCAGAAACCTATGATTGTGGGTTCGAATCTCGGTTCGCCCTGATTATGTTTCTAGGTTTGTCAGCACCATACCCGTGCTCTTGGGTTTCACCGAAGTGGTAAACGTCCGAGACCTGCATCACTTCAGGCTTTCCTCCAACATTAAGCTGACACACCGCTATATAACTGGAATACTTTTAAAGGGCGGCGTTAATCCCAACTCATTCACTCCCTCACTAAAATGTAATCTGACCACAAGTGCCACTGGTGAACTATATGTAATTGTCTTAAAATATTGGTGAAATTAACATAAGATGATCTCCCCTGTGGGGTTGCCAGGTTAGAAAAGGTTTCCAGCAACCTGTTTTGTTTAGTTTTTTGGGGGTGGGGAGGGGGCAACTTAGTGGGTCGGGTGGTCAGACCTGGTGACTTGGTTGTGTGCATGTCATTGTGCCCCGCCAACATGTATCATTGCTCATCATAGCAACCACTGCTTGGTGTGTGGGGGCAACTTAGTGGGTCGGAGGGTCAGACCTAGTGACTTGGTTGTGTGCATGTCATTGTGCCCCGCCAACATGTATCATTGCTCATCATAGCAACCACTGCTTGGTGTGTGGGGGCAGCTTAGTGGATCGGGTGGTCAGACCTAGTGACTTGGTTGTGTGCATGTCATTGTGCCCCGCCAACATGTATCATTGCTCATCATAGCAACCACTGCTTGGTGTGTGGGGGCAGCTTAGTGGATCGGGTGGTCAGACCTAGTGACTTGGTTGTGTGCATGTCATTGTGCCCCGCCAACATGTATCATTGCTCATCATAGCAACCACTGCTTGGTGTGTGGGGGCAACTTAGTGGGTCGGGTGGTCAGACCTAGTGACTTGGTCTTGAAGCTGACCATCCGACCCCTGTTTTTATTCACTCTTAAGCCAAGTGTGGGGTACTGAGGATCTTCCCAGGCCAGGGTGCTGTTGTACAAAGCAATCTTAGTGCTAATGGGGCGGTCAGGTAGCCTGGTGGTTAAAGCGTTCGCTCGTCACACCGAAGACCAGGGTTTGATTCCCGACATGGGTACAATGTGTGAAGCCCATTTCTGGTGTACCCCGCCGTAATACTGCTGGAATATTGCTAAAAGCGG